CACTTGAAAACTCTGTATTCTACTTTAGATTTTACTGTTAGTGATGTACTGCTGCATCTCTACATCATATAGTCTTGTTTCACTGATATTCTTCAGGTGACAAAGATAAGAGTGAAGAAAATTCCTAATTATTAGCTTAATTCAGATTTTTGTAATTAAGTACACTTTTTGCAGAGTGAGTTAAAAGAATTTAATGTTTAGCATTTAATATTGTCAACTAATTACAGTGAGATTAGCTCTATTTCATAGGTGTCTTACACTTGTTCAGTCTATAATTATAATTATGTTGGAACATGTTATTTTAAAAACCTAGAAAGAGTTGACTATTATACTGGAACTAAATATACAAGTACAGAAAATAATTCTGTACAAGAATTACAAATACAAAATTCTGTACAAGAAATTTGTGAGTCATCTATCACTAATAACAATAGTAATAAAACAGTGAAAGTTGGCTACTTAACCCTATCACCAAGGGTATCCTTTACTGTGCATGACACAAGGTTTTAGTGTCTTGCATTCAAATTTTATGAAACTACTTTTTGTTTTTGTTATACCAATTACAATAGCATAAAATCTTAATTAATAATCCATATTTTAATAGTATATATGTTTTACTTTCTTAATTCTACAAGGCACTATTTAAAAAAATACTGAATTTCCCCTAGTGTGACCTACATGGCACATTTTCTTTTAGCATGCCATCATCCCTATTTTATCCACTACCTCTCAAAAAAAGTATGAAATTAAATGTGTATTACTCTCTATAAAATCATAATTTTTATAGTATTCAATTTTGTTTGGTTACAGTTATTGAATAGAAAATCAGACCGCTCCAGCCACACCCGCCCATCACATCCTTTCTTTCACAATTGGTTGATAGTTTTCTCTTACATTTCATTATATATTATTTATAACCAATGGAAAGTCAAGGTTTTCATCTATCAAATGATGTTTCGTATAACATTATGTTCTGAATAATTAAATGTCAAATTCACTCAAAGTACTAACATTATTCTCATGAGAAAGTTTACGACTAGCTTGGATGAATTTGTAATGACTCTTGATGCATAGTTGAAAAGCCAGAAAAAATTTTTAGAGGTAAGGAAACTGTCTACATTTTGCATATTATTAGTCTATATTCTTTGGTGCATTATTTAATTAAATACAAATTATTATATGCATTACCATCATTAGTATAAAAATTAGGGTTAACTCTCTTTGACAATTGACAGCAAAAAAAAGAAGATTGGTTAAGTATTTTATTTCTTGTTTTTCATGTTTATTTTTTATTTATAAGTATAAAAGTAACTAAAATAAGTAATAATAATATTATAATAAAAATGTTTCATGAGGCACACATGCAAGCAGCTTGTAGTAACTCGTGAGTAATGTAATTCATTAGCATTACGTGAGCTGCATGTTCTCCGAGTGATTTATAACTTATGACTTGGATAGAAGTTAGACACAGTTCAGAGGACAATAAAATTTAATTATAAATAGATGTATACTGTTATGAACTTAGAGCTACTTGGGATAAACGAATGTAGTTTTATGTTGTTTTTTTTGTTTTTTTACAAGGTTTGTCAAATTGGGTGATTTCGTTTTGAGGTATGGTAGAGAAAGTAACATATAAACTATAAAGTTTTACTGAAAAAAACGTTTGAAATGCATTTAGGAGGTTTTAGGGATTACACAAAGAAAATTTGAGTTTTTCAAAATGAGGGAAAGTATTTTTAATTTTAACATGAAAATTACTTTGCATGCAGACTATTCAAACCAAATACTCATTATATTTATGGACAAATCTATATTTTATTTTATTAAAAATACTTCACTGAAAAATATTTTTTTTGAATGTGAAAGAAATAATATTCATTGAAAGACTGCTGAACTTTGTGAAGGTATACACACTGTATTAAAAGTTAGAAGTATTAAATCTATAAAGACTTTAAACGATTACAAAGACATCACATGATCGGCCATATTGACCGAGCCCGTGTTGAGAGAGTTAATATAATTTTTTTTTTCTCTCTCTTTCTCTCTGGAAAACAAGAGACTTTATTAATGTTAAAACTAATAGTTAAAGGAAATTGAATATTTCAAACACTAATAAAATAGAAAATGTATTTCTGTAAAGTTTTCATTCTTTCTTACCTATTATTTTTTTTGTATACTCATAAAACATTCTGTTTTCAAAATGAAAATATTCATCAATTCAATAATAACAGAGAAGTTTTTTCAAGCATACCAGTTTGTTCAAAGTTCAGTTTTTATTCAACTAGAGACCAGTTACAAGATTTAGTGAACTATTTACAGTGATAACACTGTGATATTCTAAAAATGAAGCAAGTTAAGTAATATTACAGTAAGATTACTTTCATGGACAAATAAAATGTGTTGCATTGTGATCTTGTTTTCTCTCAGTCTTAACTGATATATTCCTGGAAAATGTAAAAGACAGTGCCACGCATTGAAAAACCCCAATTCCTGATGTGGTGTGCCATTGACACCTTTGTCATAAGGACACAGACATGTAGCTCAAACCCATACAGTAACTTTCTCAATGAACATATAGCATTCAAGAAGTAACTTCATAATTAAATTTGACATATAAAAACATTTCTTATTATTTGACATCCTAATTAAAAGGAAAGCAGAATCATTTTTCACACTATTGTTTTGTTTTTTTGCAAGCCAACTGACAGAAACTGCATTTTTTACTTAAAAATCCTATTCACCAGTGGTCAAATTTGATTATCACCCACAAATATCAAACATGAGCACAAGACCTTAGACAAATTGACAATTTTTATATTCTACTTTCAGAAAAAGTGCTTCCCTTACCAAGTTTATCGCTGATTGTTTACAAACTTAAATAAATATTCCAGAATTAACCCATTTTACTTCTATACATCTGTACACTCCTAACGTCAGCCACAAGCCCAAAAGTATTATTTCCAAATTCAGCTTTTGTACTTTCTTCAAATCCAGTTTCAGACAGAAATCCACCAAATCAGACCACCTACAAATACCACAAAACAAAAACTATGTGGAAATTGAACTGTACATTGATTAAGCTCCAGCATGAAAATCAAAAAAGTAAAGGATGCCTTCCTAACAGCTCGTACTACTTGAGTGGGATGAACTGAAATTATTAATATTGGATACTTCTGTCAACAAACACAAAAATAATTTATTGTGTAATGTATGTTTTCTCGCAGTTTCATACATGTTAGAATTTCCTTTTTTATTGCTGCATTATTAGCTAATAGTGTCAAAATGTCAAATGTTTTTTCATTGCCTGTGTAGGCTACTGGCTAGTTATATTTGAATAAATGCTGTGCTTTAGAGAAATGTCTGTTTTTTGCTTTCTTGCTTTCATTTAGATATAATCCTTTGATTTTACATTAGGGTTTCTGGAAGTTGCTATTGGCCTAGTGTGTGTGTGCATGTGCAACTGAAATCATTGTAAAGTTGGAAAAATTTGTATCTGTTGTATACTTCAGAAATTTCAAGGAAAGGAGTGTGTTAAGTGTGAATTGTCATTGAGTATTCAGAAAAGGAATGTGGGTAAGAAAAGTCTATAAAGTTGGTGGTTCCATTCCCATTATAAGAATTGATTTGAATAATACAGAGAAAAAAAAAGGTGATTGTTTGAGAATTAAAAATTAATAGTCTGTGTGTGAATCTATTCATTATTCAGTTACATGTTTTAAAGTTTGTTTATCTTCTTTAGAATGGCCCCCTGGTGGCACAGTGGTATGTCTACGGACTTATAATACTAGAAACTGGGTTTTGATACCCGTGGTGGGCAGAGCACAGATAGCTCATTCCATAGCTCTGTGCTTAATTACAAACAAACAAACTGAAGTTCCTTTACAATTCTGGACTGTCATACTGAGTTTTACTAAAGTGTCTTAAAACTGCAATAATTCCCAAGTCATCAAGTGGGTGTCATTTCAAGAAGAAACTTGTAGTTTCAATAACCAAACTTAGGATAACAATGCCAGTTGAATGAAAAGGCATTTGACAAAAAATCAAAAGATCCTCACAAAGAATTCAAAAATATATGTGTACCTCCATAGCATAAAGTCAACATTACTACTTGCAAATGAGTTAAGTGCTGGGCCTGTTACAGTCAAGTTGCGTGCTATTGTAAAGCTCAAAGGTGACAAACCAATTCTGAGGTAATCTCTATCTTTCACAAGATGAGGAATCAATATGAAGACACTTTGAAACATACACCCTCATCAACAGCTGAAGAACAGTGTCTGATGAAAACATTTTCTAGCTGCTGGAAATTTGTTTGCTTTCATTTTGTTCAACCAACAACCTACATGCTAGACTCAAAATACAGAGGTCTAGACTTGAAGAACACAATGAAGCCATGAACACGATCATGAAGACAGCTGAGTATATTCTCCATCATGGATTCAATCATTGTTTTGTGTGATTTGGTTGAATACAGAGCTGGACACAAATTATGAAATATGGAAGTTCTGTGGAAGTCAGCTACCTGTAATATACTATTCCTTTAACATGGTTGAATGGGCTTTGTGGGATTAAGCAGTTATTTAAAATTGCTATGTGATTGTTAAGCTTCCTGTTAACCTCAACTACATGTGGATGCAATTGAAAAGCATTCAGTATCAAGAAAAATTTTAATTATGCATATTCTTTATAAGGTTATGAAAAGCAAATATCATTAATAAAGAAGTTACTGGTACAAAATAGATGCCTACCATTGACATTATTTATTACTAGCAATATATGGTGGTGATGTCCTATTGAATATTAATAAATCCTAATTTGGGATAAACAAAATTGCTAAATATTTCCAAAAAATAATGTATCAGAAAGTTGACATTTTCATAAAGTGATGTAAATTTTCTTTTAATTCAGTCTACATTTAAAATGTGTATTTGTTTGGTCAAATAGCTGATAGTTTTGTTATATATTATGCACAATTTTAATAAAGCTGTTCACTTGTTTCTTAGAATCCTGTTCCACATTGCTGGACAGAGCCTGGCCATCTAAAGAGAAGGTTTTGCAATGTGTGTAGAAAGAGGATAGAAGACAACTGTGCTGTAAGATGTGAAGGTACGTTACAAGTTAAACATTATAATCATGCACACATTGTGAAACATGATGCTGCCTTAATAATTTATGAACTCTTTAGTCATGGTCATCATGTAAGAATTACAGTACTTATGTTGTGATTTAGAGAAAAAATTTCAAGGCTAATAAAAGTAAAGGTTTACGTGTTATCTGGACTAGTTGTAATGCATTTTGTTGCTAGCTAGAACATTTTTTTTCAGTAATCTTTTTAAATATTTCAAAGAGGAAAATAATTAGCCTATGTTTAACACAAATTTCTGGTAGAGGAAATTGAAGAAATAATTATAAATTTGTATTCAATTTAAACTTCGAAAAATGTTTTCTATAGTAAAGATAAGCTGGAGGAATTACTTCAATTTTGATTTTCTGCTAGTCTCATATTAACTTGTTATTACATCTAATTAAGAATTTGCTTTAAGTGTTTAATGGTACGAAATCTTAGTTTTGAAATATTTTTCCATTTTTTCTTGAAAATTTAAATTTTTTAATATTATAAAATAATGTTAACTTACTGATAAGGTGTAATATATATATATATATATATATTGTAAAGTTTTTTAATGCTTGAATCTCTTAGTCTAGTATAGCAACTTTGCTTGGTCAGACTTGACCACCTAATTCTAGTAGGGAACCAATCCTGCTGAAATTATACCAGAATAGGCTTCATACTGAATTCAGTTATGTTCCAGATTCCAAAAACAATGTTAAGATAAGGAAGATATAAATATTTTGTTGAAGCTGCTGTCAGGAATATATTTACAACAAAACCATGCTGTGGTCTTAGGTGATTCATTATATATAACCTCTAATAAGAATCCACACTGCCAAACTTAGACTCTTTACTGCTCCCTGCTTATACAACATATGAATCAAGTTGCTTGCTGCTTGGACAAAGTTCGCTAGTTCATAGCTGAAACATACTTCTGTCTGAAGCTCACTTGTAAGTGCATGATCTTAAGGTGCTCTAAATGTTACATATGTAGCTAATGTAGATGTGATCATGAACGTATACCTATGACAATGAAGATAAACTGTAAAAGAGGTAGACAAAATGATGAAAGCTCTAGGAAATGGTCTGTGGCTTTCTTTCAAGTGTTCAGATAAAGCTGAGTTGGATCATCTTGAACTTGCTGCTTGGATGAGCTTTATAAAGATGAATGCTTCTGTCTCAATAAAAAGTGAAGGAAACACATGCTTCATAGGAGAAAGTTGAGATAGAGGAGGGTGTTACATACCATAGTTGGTTAGAAACAAATTCTGACCACAGGACAAGGTTGGGCCAGGAGAAAAGTGTTATTGATCATTCAGTACATTGAAAACAAACTGCTCCTCACATCAAGACCCTGCTGTTCAATACCCAATTTCTAGGGTTTCCAGATTTAGCCAATCTCCACCTACCTACCAATTTTGTCATATTTTCTCTACTTGATTCAGAGATTCAGCGTCAAACAATCTTATTTCCGGTTTTTTTCATACAAAAAAAGGTTTTGCATTTTATCACAGGTAATTAAACTGCTGTGACAGCATGTTATTTGAAGAAAGTTTTTTCACATTTTACTGTGTTGCAAGGTATTTGAAAAGTAATAAAAATGTTTAAATTCTGTTCACTCTGTGGATGTAATGTTTGTAAAGGGTGGAGAAGAAGTTAAGGTGAGTGTGGTGTATGTGTACATTATGCTCTTTTACTGATATTGCCAAGTGTATGTGTATTATATAAATATATATATATATATATATATATATATACACACACACACACACACACACATGTATATATGTGTTATTTTATTTTTCTAGTTTGTGAATACTGTGTTCATGTGGAGTGCCATGATTTCAGTGTAGCCAACTGTAAAGAATGTGCCACTTATCCAGCTAGTAGAAATCTTGTAAGTACAAACCAAATCAGATAGACTTACTTCTGGTGTATTATAGGCCTTTTCTTGTTGAATTGTTCATTCTGCAACTACCACATGGCTTTTGGTTCCAAATGTTCTTATGCAATGCATTACATGTGTCATATTACCAACCATTCTCCAGTCACCCATCTTCCACATGACTTATTGCACAAGTGCCAGTGGAATTACATTAGCTCTACTTTCTCACCACATGCTAGAGTTTCTTGTTGACAGCCATGTGTTAAACTTTGTGCCTTCATATGCTCTGTTTTTGAATTCTGAAGTCAATTTTAACACTTCAGTTAATCCTTCTATTATGGGTAGGTGGATTACACCCTGCCCATATTCCTGAAAGTAACCATAAAGCAGTTATAATGTAAATGTATCTTCGTGAAATTTTGTAGATTATCAGTAAACATTAGAAAGCATTCATACACAAAGTATCAGATTTTTAAATTAAGTTTAAAATTTTTCAATTAATTATTTATAGGTTATTTTCACTATTGTATCTCTGTATGGGTTTGGTTGATTCGACTGACCACATAACCACCTTAAAAAAAATATAAGAAATAGATATATAAATTATGCTTTTTTCATTCTAGAATTACAACAAATTATAACATGAAACCACAAATGTTTAGTCTAAATAGTTTAAATCTCATAACATTTTACATATATAAAAAATTTATTATTTTATACACCTTTCTGCAGTGTCTGACTAACATTACAGAAGTTGAATTACCGTATCCAAAAATATAAAACTGGTCTTTACAAAGTGACCTATCTTGGCTGTGTTCTAGTGGACCAGTATTTTGTAAAATAGTCACATTTTGGTTATAATACATTATATATGTATATACATTATTACATTTACAACTAAGATCTTAAATTTCAGTAAATTTTCTAAAAACATAGAACAGTAAATAAAGAAGTATAGAGACCAATTAACTCTTCTAGTTACGAACTTTGTACTTGTTTGATGCTTGCCGTAAGTTGCTAAGCCTTATCAAATTTCACACACGGAGAATATAAAAAAAAATTTTTTAGGTTATTATGTACGCATTTTGAAATAACAACAAATCATAAATTACCATATAAATACCACAGAATTTCACTATAATTTATCAAACTGTATTTGGGTCTAAAAAATATGATTTTTTTAGCTCAATAATGTTTTACCTTACCGCTTGGAATTTACCATGAAAAGAAAGGGTTTCCCACATAAATACAGAGAACCATGTGGGGGACATTCTGAGCTTTCAATTGGTTATTCACACTTTATAGACAGAAGTAGGAAAAATGGAAAGAGGTGGGCAGGGCCACAGTGTTTCATTCACTAGATATAGCGATATTTCAGCAAATAGAAAAGATGGGATGTTCTTATTTTGTGTTCCAGCTTGTCAGTATTGGTAGTTTCAGTTTCTAATTCATAAGAAACTATAGACTTTGTATGTGGACATCACAAACATCTAATATGAACCAATGCTGCATTCAACATACCATGTGACACAAAAAAATTTATATTTAGGACTTTGTTTTAATATTTACTCTTAAATTAAGAAATTAACTATTGTATAATACTAAAATTTGAATTATAATGTACAATTTGATACCAAACTTATTGGCATACATTCATAAGATAGTAGTTCAATAAAATTTTGAAAGTAAGTCTACAAATGTAATGACATGGCCTTTCACCCATGACCATAGGAAAACCCATCTCGGTAGGAGTATTGCAAAAATTCTACAACTTCTTCAAGTTACATAGCCTTGTGCTTAACAAAAAACAAACATAATAGCAATATTTCAATTATTTGGGTGTTTGGAATAATTGCAAAAAATAATAAAAATTGGAAAACCTGTTTTTGGTTAGCTGATTATTTTCAAGAAAATTGATTTCCTCATAATATCGATTAATTGATTGTTGAAATAATCAAAAACAGTAATGATTTAATTGTAATTTTGATTAATTGATTACTTTAATTGACACTAATGGATATAATTACTGTTCATAGGTAATTGATATATTGATTATTCAGTAAATTCATCCAGCTCTAATCTATTATCGCATGGCTTCTGTGATCCTTTGACACTAGACACTATTCTACCTCCATTGCACTTTCTTTGAATTGATGAGCTCATTCTCAGGACCACTTGGCTCTTTCTGATTCTTCTTGCAGATTGGCCTGTTTCATGACTTTGCTGGTCTCTTCAGTTTTAAATGATGTATAATTTATTCTCAGTAGTACATCTAGTCTCTACTGTACAGGATAATGTTTTGTATTCTGATCCTGTATACCTGTCTAGCCATAACCAAGACAACACTTACAAATGTACATTCTACCAAAGTGTTTCCTTATTGCTTGATGCCACTTTATATTTTGATTAAAGGTATCTAGGGTGAAGAGGTACTTTGCCCAAAATATGCTTTTCTCTTCTGAACTTTGCAGTTTTGGTTCAGACTCTTATAGGGCTGGTTCTCTCCACTTAGTTCTTTTAGACAAGTCCAGTCCAAATGCTTATTGCTCTAGTTTTTGATTCATCACTCAGTGTTGTTGTGGTCTAAGGATAATAGCTTTTCTGTCCCAGAGCTCAACATTTGGTGATTTGATTATTTTTAGTGAAAACACAAATCAGTTCTCTTTTTCATTTCATTGTGGGTATTCTGGCTTGTGGTGTTTCAGATGTAAGCCTATCTTATTTTAATTTGACAGTTTTAGAATTAATGTGAATTTCAAGCAGGTACTTATCTCTGAAATACATTCCAATCCACCTCCTTATAACTTAGAAAAATATGTTATGATATCATGACTACAAATGAAGAAAACAGGCTTAGAGCTGATGTAGTTCCCCTAACATTTAGACAGTAAATCATGTGAAAAGTGGGAGAGTGTAGGAATTTTGGTAAGGTGATGCATGTAATGCATTGCATTAAGGACATTGAGAACCAAAGGTCACATGGTTGTTGAGAGAGCGAAAACTACTCAATAAGAAAAGCTTATGGTGTTTGAGAGGTAAATATTTGTTTGAAATTCATTTTAATTATTAAAATGTAAAAATTGGATGTTTAATGCTAATTTATAAAAATAACTTCTACCTTTGTTTTCTTCTCCATTATCCAGTTGTGTTGCAGAAATTTTCAGTTAATATCTAATATTATGTTCTTGTCTTGTTATTTTAAGAGCTCATGTTTTACCAACAACATGTAATGTGTGGATAATATATTGCATTACTAAATGATAACTTTTTACGTTTCATGATAATAACAAAGTCATTCAACTAATGTCTGAACTGTTTTTATATATAGGTATTTTTTACATTAGTAATACTTACATTAAAATACTTTAATGCATGATTCAAGAAGTGTTACAAAAAAAAGATGTCAGAAATACATGAAATAGTATCATCATGTAACTTTTAATGTGTTCCATAAACTGTTGATTTCATCATCAATCAGTTTATTTGTTAATATTTCTTGTTTAGGTAGACCACTAAAAAATGTGACTGCTATTTTAACATACTTTCATATATTTGTTGAGGTATATTTAAACAAAGTTAGTATTTATATTAAAGTATAACTATGATTCACTATTTTTCTTGTGTGTGTGTGTGCTTATTTTTTGCAGCCTTCTGTAACCCAGTTTCATCACTGGAGGGAAGGCAACTTACCTGGCAACTCCAAGTGCCATTTCTGTAAGAAAACATGCTGGTCAGCTGAATGTCTGTCTGGTATTCGGTGCGAGTGGTGTGGTCTAACGGTGAGATTATAATCATATTTCATTTATGTAGAGTTGTAACAGTTAAGATATTTAATCTTTCTTATTGACATTGCATACAGATCCATACGCTTGGCTTTTTGATGACTATGTACAGCAACAAATCAAGGCTGGTAAAATAAACCAGTACAATAAAATTGATTAGTGTCACACAGTAGATAGGCTCACAGGCTACATCATACCCTCGAAAGCCAGATTTGTGGCCTGCACTATGATCACATGTTTCATAAAACAGTTATGATACTCAAAAGTAAGCATAATTGTATTTGGGAAATAATATATTCCCTAACATGTTCAGGCCCAGTTCTTGGCTTTACAATAATTATCTGTAGTAGCCCAGTGTGGAAAATAATTGGTAACCACTGATGTAAATCTTAAGTAGACTTCTGTAAGCTAAGTATGAATAGTAACATTTTGTATTTTGTAGTAGGTTTTGAATGACTTTTGTTATAAAAGAATGTACTTTATCATGCATGCTTTTGAGTTATCCAATAAATATATTTTTAATGTAACTTCGGATAGTTAAAAAAAACAAAAAAGAATGTAGGCTGTTGTGTTCCTTTGTGTTGCATGGACAACCTCATTAGAAATGCATGTAGGATGATATTAATTGCTTCAGTTTTATGGGTACATATAAACTGTAGTGTTACATATACTATAGGGTTGTATCAGATTGTCTTACTAAGCATGAAGTACAGTATTACAATTTATTTAAGGTTCAATTTTAAGATTTATTTTTAATAAGGCTCACGCAATTAAACTTTAAGTCACTAACTTTTCATTTTCTAAGCAATATTCCTAATAATTTACTGTACAAGGTTTACTTCAAACAGCTTATTAGATACAGTAGAATTTATTCAACATTACAAGATTTAGTATGTAAAGAGAATAAACTAATTTTTGACTAAAAATATTTCTCATACAGTATTTTGAATACCAGGTTTAATCAATTTTATGGTCCACTTAAATATGCTGTTTGTTAAAGCTAATAGAACTAATATCAGAAATTTCTCCAAGCTATCAGGACTAAGCCACAATTTTTTAAGGAAATAAAGACATTTTTTAGCATGTTGGGCAACTATTAGTATTTTCTTCTTCTATCTTTTATAAGCTATATAACCTCTTAACTCTTCCAACACGGGGTCGGTCGATTTGACTGAGTCATGTGACCTTCTGTACTCGTTTAAAGTTGAAATAAATTTAATACTTATAACTCTATATATTGGGTACATCTTCACGAAATTTGGCAGTCTTTCAGTTAATATTACAAGTCTTTCACATACAAAAAAGTCATATTTCTTAGTGAAGTACTTTTAATAAAATAAAATAAAGTTTTGTCCATGAGTATATTGAGTATTTGTTTTGAATAGTCCATGTGCACAGTAATTTTCATGTAAAATTAAAAATACTTTTCATCATCTCAAAAATCTCAAATTTCCTTTGTGTAATCCCTAAAACCTCTTAAAT